TTTTTTTTTTTTGGGTTATGAAAATGCAAAGCAATAGGTCTATTCAGCGATCAGCGTTAACATTTTACAGTACTAAATTACATCACCTATTTTTTGTTTTTAACATTGTGCAAACTAAAGAAAATGCATATTTTCCTGAAATGGTACATTGCATTTTTCTTTACATTTTGCAAGCAAAAAAAATGAATCTTTTTCTGAAATGCATTCTAGCGTCTCTCAAACCTTGATCGAAACATTAGTACAGTTCCACCTGAACATTTTAGTAATATGGATGAGTATATGTTCATCTTCATCAGACACTAAATTCATTGGCAACAAAGCCTGTAAAGCATATAATAATTTCAGAGTATTGGGTGTGTGCACGTTCGTTCGTGATGCTTCCCTGGAGGGATGTGGAAACCGAGGTGGGGTTGATTTTTTTAGATTATAATTTCAGAAAATGCCTTTTTACATTCAGTTATAACTGCTGTAGCTTTATAGTGAAGTCGGACATGAAGAAATTTACAATGCCCCTATTAGCATTGATTTCTTCTCTATTGGTGTTAGATACGAAAGCATTCAGAATTGACTTAGATGCAATAAACTCGTGCTACCTAATACACACCAAAGGATTGTAGCAGTGGCTATTTGTTATGTGATTAGACTATTCATTTTGTACTTGTTTTACCATTTTGTCCTTTTGCCAGTCAAGACGACTGTTGCTAAATGTTTTTACCTTATATATGTATATATAGAGACACACACTCGTATACCTAAGAGAAATATGATTGTGTCGGGAAAGGGGGGGCATCAGTCATAGTTTAAAATGGCGACGCCTCGAGGCGAGGGCTACATCGCCTCGCCACTGCCTGAGGCGACCCTGTTCGCGAGGCGCTCGCTTCAGGTCGCCTCGGCTCGCCTTTTCACGTGGCGAGAGGCGCCTGTGAGGCACGCCTCAACACCTTTCAGAGAAATTAAAGGTACAGTACATTTTTTTTAAAAAAGAGAACAAAATTAAAAGACTCTTTCTTCACTTCATACCCACGAACTGAAAACTACAGTTTTAGACCGAGAATAGGAAAGCTGAAGGTGAAAAATCCCTAATGGCTTCTCTCCAAACAAGGGGTTATGTGAAAGCACTCCTTAGGCTTCTCATGTTTGAAAATTGTAGAAACCCACGGCTGACCCATCCATTACCGTCCTCCTCTGAACTCCGGCAACCATCTCGCCACCAAGATAGTCGGTGATGCATGTTTTTTCCTTTCTTTTCCTTCTCCGTTATCTCTGTTTTTTCCTGTTCTACCTTCTTTCTTTTTCTTCTTTCTTCATTTTTTTACTTTTATTTATGTTACTAGTATGGTCAATAGTCAAAGGTGAAAGGGTGCAACGTCTTTATTTCATTTACTTTTACTTTACACTTTTTATTTACCCTCTTTAACATTTTTCTATTTTATGTTACTACACAGTGTAAATTCACTTTTTTTTTTTTGTATTGTTACTAGTATACACATTTAAGTTTGAGATGCTTTTAGTAATTACAACCAAATTTAATTTATATTATTTTCTTTGAGGATATTTAAGGTTATTTTTGACACTTAAACTTGAATATATGATATTACTACCTATATAAATATATTTTTTAAGCTTTGATGGCTTGTGTTGCCGAGGCCTCGCCATGGCGAATCGCCTCGCCTCGTGGCGAGGCTATGGGCGAATCGCCTTGCCTCGCCATTCGCCATTTAAAACTATGGCATCAGTAATAGGATATAGTATATTGCAGGATAATTTTTTCTCACTGTACAGAAGTCTGAATAAGGTGAATACATAAGTATATGACAATGTGGCCTCGTCTCATGAAATCTTTGTTTATGATAGATGTCAAGCGCTTGGACAAAAATGAGCTTTGCAATCATACATAGGGATGTAGGATGGGAGTGGGAGAATTCAGGGTGGAGTCTTTGGTATTTTTATATAAATGGAAGTTCTTGCTCGCTCTCTGAAGAGCTATTCATCTGGCAAAATTTTAGAGTGGATGAGGACATCATATTTTAATTCAAATAATTTATAGCTTTGGAGTATCTTGGAGCACATGAGCAATGGAGCTTATGGAGCACCGCTCGCCTCAAGGATTGCTCTCTTGGTTTGCTTCATAAGTTTTTCCTTTGTTTTCTTTTTGCTCGTCGTATTACTCAGATGGCGGCAGGAAATCTGCAGGATTATTAGCTGTTGTTGTTCACTTCTGTAATCTGGTTTCACATTGATATATATTTTTGCTTTGCAGCTTCTACTGCTAACTTCTTCCTCAAAGACAAAATGAGTGCCCGTTTTTCTCGGACCATCTATGTTGGGAACCTTCCAGCTGATATTAGAAAGCATGAGATTGAAGATTTATTTTACAAGGTTTGAATTGCATGATTATCTTATCTATCATGTCTGCTTTGGTTTGGTTGTAGTGATCTTTGTTTATTAGACCAACTAGAACAAACATTCATTCTTTTACTTTGTTTTATTTTGTTTTGTTTTGCTTGGACTTAATGCTACACCTTTATTTAGAACATTCTAACAGTTGACTTAATCTTAAGGTTATTTTTTTATGACCTATTCTGCGTAGCTGATAAGAACTTATCTAAAACTTTTTGCCTCTGAGTCTTCACATTGGAAAACATCTTACTACATTTATACCGTAAAATTATATCTGGATTCATTAAATTGTCTTGATTCATTTTTTCTATATAATTATTGGATGTTTTTATATTGCTCTTTGGTTCTTGTTTATAGTTTGCTTTTCTTTCTTTTCTTACTTGCATCTTTTAATTTTTGAAGTTTTAAATTTTTCTGAATTTAATTGTATCGGTTATTAGGATTTAGTACTATAAATAGTTTATAGGCTATGATCTAAAAAAATTCTTGTGGAAACATTGGCCATTTATTTCCATATAATCAGTTGGTATTATTGTCACTTTGTCACTGAGTTTTCAGATTGATCATCACATGCATTTTTCTCTCTGATAGTTTGAATAAGCTTCACATTTTAATAATATCCATTCTTCCTTTGCAGTATGGCCGTATTATGGAAATTGAATTGAAGGTTCCTCCTCGCCCACCCTGCTATTGTTTTGTGGAGGTACTACTTCTACCAACAGGGCTTATCTACAGTTTTTTGTTTTGGACGGTTTTATTGTGATTTTGTATGTTTGGATGGAGACCAGTACTTGTTTTCTTCTGATCCTTCGAAAGTTAGGGGTTTAGTAAGTTTTCTTACTAAGAGTTTTATTATTAATGTGTAGTTCAATAGTTCACGGGATGCAGAAGATGCCATCAGAGGTAGAGATGGCTACAACTTTGATGGTTGCAGATTGAGGGTGAGAACAATTAAAAGATATTTGAATATTATTCTCTTTGTTGTATCCTTTGTTTCATAACTTATCTTTTTAGCTTCTACTGTTTCTGGTTTTTAATGGTTGATGGCTATAACTTTGATGGTTGCAGATTGAGGGTGAGAACAATTAAAAGATATTTGAATATTATTCTTTTTGTTGTATCCTTTGTTTCATAACTTATCTTTTTAGCTTGTACTGTTTCTGGTTTTTAATGGTTTGCTCCTGAATCTAGGTTGAATTTGCACATGGTGGCAGGGGTCCATCTTCGTCCAGTGATCGTCGTGGTGGCTATGGTAGTGGAAGTGGCAGTGGTGGTGGTGGTGGTGGCCGATATGGTGCTTCCCGTCATTCTGAATTTCGAGGTGCACCTAGTTTACTGTTGGATCTTTCCAATTTGTTTGCATTTAACTACTCTTGTTTTTTTTTTTTGGTTCCTTTTAATATTGATCTCTTCAATGTCCTGGTGCCTGGTGTTTATTTATTTATTTATTTATTTTTTTGTCT